TTGAAATTCACCTGTATAATGACTAGGTTTCACGATATCAGGGGTACAAACCGCTGAATAGCTAAACCCTGCGTTTTAGAAAAACAAAACGGACTGTGCATTTGTCAAGACCCTCTCTACCATAGTTGGCCTATTGGAACTATTATAAAGGTGTTTTGCGGTAGAAAGCGCAACAGTTGACATGAAAGCCGACATCTGTAAACTCCTTGACTGTTTCCCCTTACAATCCTTTGTAGCATGGCTATTGTTTTACAATGTTTACAGTAAGGTTTCTTGGTACGCTTAAAAGGTTGTCTCTGTTGAGATGCCTGAAACTTAGAGGGCTTCTGGGTTTGAGCAAGGGATGCATTCTTTTTTTTTTCCAGGGATTCGTGAGGATGGGGTTTGTGACGTTCCCATTCTTGGCTTGGCCAGGGGGCCTTCTGTTTCCCTGTACACACATCTTTATGGACAAGTTCATATCTTTCAGCAAATGTCAGTGTCAGTTCCGTTCCGCCCCCATTTTCAGTGAGGAAAGTTTACATAGATGTAGGCAAAGAGTCACGAAGTTGTTTTGCTAAGAACATCTCATGCAGGTCTTTAAAAAAAAGAAGTATAGCCTGATAATTCCCTCCATCTAGTCAAATATATCTGTAGGCGACTGGCAAACTGAGGATAGTTTTCCCCATTCAGCTTTCTCTCATTTCTCAGCTTATGTCTGTAGGTAGCAGCATTCAGTTCGAAACGCTTTAGCAACAACTGCCATAACGCTTCATAATCTATTTCCGTACCGGTGGACATCCTTTGATACACATGGTACCCCTCACCTCGCAAACCCTGAGCTAACTTCAGTGTTTACATATTCGTCTCCAAATTGTACACAGTAAGCCAGTTTTCAGTAGCGGTACAAGTACTGTTCGATATTTTCAGCCTTCAGGTTGAAGACTTGTATAGAGGGAAGTTCATTGCTCTAACTGAGATGCTATGTGTCTATGCAGCGTCCATCTCTGCAGATCTGGACCTATTCCAATCTCTCTGTACCTGTAGCTCCAGTTCCCTTGGCCGCTCTTCTTGTTCAAATTCCATCCCTTCCTATTCTCTCTCCGCCTAAATTCTTAGTCTTTCAGATTCCTGTTCCATCCTCATTTCTCATTCTGTTGTTTTGATCGACAAGGTCATCTATTTCCCCTCTAATCCCATCTGTACAGCCATGTCCTTCAGTTCTTGAAATGAAATCTTTGACTGCGACATGCTGACCTGTAAAATAGTCTACAAAGTATCCAACAAAATATCACCAGAAATTTAAAAAATCAGCAATTAAGTAACACAACAACAAATAGGATTGCGGCCAACCTTAACTGTGCCTTAACCTCACTTTAGTCTTGAGGGTGTAGCATATTTGTTTTTTGAAAAAAAAAGGTCCAATACCTCTCACTTCCAAGAAAATACACTGGAAGACAAAACACCACACAAGTGAATCACAAATCACTCACAGGAATACCTTTAAGGACTGACCCAGAGTTGTCACAAACTGTGTTAATCAAAACAAAACAAAAACTCCTGGCCAAGATTTCCAGCAAATTGAAAGATTGAACAGAGAGAAATCCCCCGACGAGACCACAGTTTTTATGCACGTATGTGTCTGTAAAATAATGATGTCGTCACGCACGTTTGTTAGGGTTTCCCCTAATGAAACAAACGGCACTCTGAAGTAGTTTTAGTGTTGAGACGATGGCTCGCAATGGTCTAGGCGGAATCCCCCAGCTCCAATGAACATCCAGACTACTTCAGAGTTGAGGCGACTCAAATTATGCCACTACATATTACATACATTTTCCTAGGTGCAACTTGGCCTGACTATCTCACTACTGGTAAAGCCCCCAGACTAGACAGTAATCCTAGGCTAGTCAAATGAACACAGTATAATATGAAGTATAACATAATAACAAATACTCCAGACAACTCGAGAACAGAGAAGGGTGGACACAAACCACAGAATATGAAATAACAAAACATCATGTAATCAGTGCAACACATTAAGGAAAATAAAGAGAAAAGGATTCAGGAAGATCGATCAAACCAGCTACAGAAGCAAGGAATATACTACTCCGGATGGACTCGTGGATTGTCCCTATCAACAGCCATAATGATCACCACCAAACTGTTTATTACTGGACCTAGGGAACTGGCACACAGAGTTAGGGATGACTACAGATTCCGGCACACTCCACATATCTTTGCAGGATGTCTTGTTCAGTTAACTTGAGGCCTCCTCCCACATCTGGCAGTGCAGTCTGGTTGATTCCATCATGAAAAATTATATTAGCATTTTTTTAATCGTCCTCTAGACCAGGTGTTTCTTAAATATTTTTTCGCCGTGGCACCCTTGAGGGGCTAAACGAAATTCGCAGCACACCTACACTCAAAACGGTTGAAAAACTAGGGAAAGAATGGAGAATCCCCTCCCTAGCCTAATATGTTCTCTTATGTTTTGTATTTGGTCAGAACACACTTAAGAAATCTGGCTCGTCTTATTGCCGCTACTACTGTTCAAATATACATACAGCTGTTTCGAAAGTAATGCACTGTTGAATTGAAGTCACGTATATTTCTTTACTGGCATCTCCTATGTAAACAATTTGAAAAGAGTTATCCTGCTCCCATCTCCGCCATGGTACGCCTCTGCCTCTTTCTCCGGGACCATAATGGCTGTTCTTTTCCTTCTCATCCAACCTGGCGCTTGATCTAGCTACAATATTTCACGGACCGAGATGATATTCACATGCTAATTTTCCTGGAGGTCGGATCTTTTGGAGTATTCATTTCGTTGAAACATTTTCATTTTCCTTAAGGTCGGATCTTTTGGAGTATTCATATCATTGAAACATTTTGATTTTCCTTGAGTTCGGATCTTTTGGAGTATTTATATCATTGAAACATTTTTATTCTTTTGGAGTATTTATATCATTGAAACATTTTTATTCTTTTGGAGTATTTATATCATTGAAACATTTTTATTTTCCTTGAGGTCAGATCATTTAGAGTATTCATATCATTGAAACATTTTCATTTTCTTTGAGTTCGGATCTGTTGGAGTAATCATTTCATTGAAACATTTTCCTTCTTCTTCTTCTTCTTCTTCTTCTTCTTCTTCTTCTTCTTCTTCTTCTTCTTCTTCTTCTTCTTCTTCTTCTTCTTCTTCTTCTTCTTCTTCTTCTTCTTCTTCTTCTTCTTCTTCTTCCTCTTCTTCTTCTTCTTCTTCTTCATCTTCTTCATCTTCTTCTTCTTCTTCTTCTTCTTCTTCTTCTTCTTCTTCTTCTTCTTCTTCTTCTTCTTCTTCTTCTTCTTCTTCTTCTTCTTCTTCTTCTTCTTCTTCTTCTTCTCTTCCACCTTGTACCTCATCGAAGTGTCGGGGGGTAAATGTAATGTTCGTTGATGAGCTCTGTCAAGAGCACTATTAAGACTGATGTTCATTTCTGTAAGGCTGTTCTTAATGCCATCACTCCATATTTTCCGAGGTCTTCCACTCGCTCTATATCCGTTGTAACGTTTTAGTGTGGCTCGCTGTGGCGGATAGTACCAGGGCATTCTTGTTAGGTGTCCAAACCACTGCAATTGTTGTTCTTTGATGACCTGTAAGACTGGCTTTATTCCTAGCATTCGTCTGATCTCGTGATTTCGTATTCTGTCTTTCCTTGAAACTCCTGCAGCGTTTCTAATGCATTTCATCTCTGTTGTCACAATTTTACGTTCATTGGAGGATGTAAGTGTCCACGTTCGGCATTGATAGCATAGTGTTGGCCAAAAAATAGTTCTGATAAGATTCACTTTAGTACTCCGAGGTATCTGCTTGTGTGTCAACAGGGGAGATTGTCCTTGCGTTGTTTGTCAGCTTGTAATACATCATTAGATATTTCGTTATTATTATCCACAACGACTGCTGACAATACACAGCAGACACCTTCAGCAAACCATTGATGTCATCTGCCAGCTACGTCATGGAGCGGCTCCAAGCCATGTACAGAAAGCGTCGAGCCTCATCGGCCAGGCCCCGATCTGTGTGGCTGCCAGAGACCAACAGTCGCGTTCTGGAGCAAACTGTTCAACAGACTAGCACCAGCCTAGCTGGCTATACCTGCTCTTCGCATCTGAAGGTAGATTTTTGATAGATTGATATAATAATCTCTGTGGCCGCCGTCTTGTCGTGAAGCACCTGGAGCACAGGCTCACACTCGCAAATAGTTGACTGTCAAGGTCACTGACCACGGCAATTGACGTCCCTGAACCCTTGTCTCATGCATGAGGTCAAGGCCAAGTCATCGCCAGCTAACGTTGGTCGCAAAATAGTAGACAAGACAGTCACTGTGGGGGGATGGGGAGGGGGGGGGGAACTAAACAAAACAAAAAGGGTGGGGAGATTGTGTGTGTCTGGGGCGGCTGTATAACGGGTATGTTAGGGACGAAGTGTGTGTGAGAAGTGTACATGTGTGGAGGCGTTTGTAAAAGGCGTGTGGTGGTGTGTGGGTGCATCTCGGAGAGGACATGTGTACGGGCGTGTACATATCTGGAGCTTGTGTAGAAGGTGTGAGTATGGCGGGGGGGGGGGGGGGGGGGGGGGGGGGAGGGGGGGGGGCGCTCGTATATATGTGTTCATGTATGTGTGCGTGTGTGTGTCTGGATGGGATCTTGTCTGTTTGAGAATGCGTATGTATATTCCGATTATTTACGTGTGAAGAGAAGTGTGTGCAGGAGCTTACTTTGTACAACAGCATTTAACATTGCTGTATATATATTTATATCTTTTTGTAAATTAACGTTAAATTCACATCGGCCTGTTTTCTCTTAGCTGCTGTTGAGTTAGTTAAAAAAAAATTATTTGCTCTTGAAAAGTATTTATTTAACTGAAGTTTCCTGCTCTCTCAGTTGTACGCATGCATTTACCTCTGCCAGCGTGTCTTGTGTCCACTTAGACCTTTGTGTCTGTACCATTAACCGTGTGGAAAGGAGAGGGAGAGAAAAGTATGCCAACCTACCTTCTGTTGCAGCCACTTGACAAGTTCCGAGCGATAGTCCGCCTGGTCATCTACCTCCAACGTTTCATGGCCGCCATCATCGACAACTGCAGTGACCTCACCATGCGATCTGCCAACGAGCTTCAGTGGATGACTGTCTACGCAGAAAAACATGACATCACGCTTGCCTTCAATAAACACCTGTATTCCAGAGACAGAGTAAGTCCCCGATCCTCTTGGTCAATCACTTGTGTATGGTTTGATCAACATGTGTACTCATTGGTCAATTTCTTGTCTATCATCTGTACAACATGTGTTTCCATTGGTCAATCTCTTATGTATCTTCTATACAATACCTGTTCTCATTTGTAAAATTATTGTGCATCATGTATACCCAGTACATATTATCATTTTGATATAATAATTACATATTATCTGGGATTTTTCAAACTAATTCTTTATCAATTCAAATTCTTCATCACCTTCATCGCCAGCGGGAAATGGAAAAAGATGAGGATAAAATGTGATTAAGACAATAAGTAGTTGGGGGGTGTGGGATGCAAAGGTTCTTGTGTGCAGGGGCCATGAAATGTGTTAAAAATCCAGGCAATGATATTGTTAAAAGCTGACACAGCATCAGCATTTGACTACATAGGCAACGTCTAGTCAGACCACCTGCACGAACCAAATTAAACACATTGAATCATACAAATGATTATACACATCACTTTGAGCATTTGTTGGTTTTAATGAACACAAAACTAACGTGCTTCACGGATAACAATACATTAACAATCAACAACGTGGTTACACAGTCCATGTGATAGGTATTTTAGCTAACAAAGGTGAAATTTCGGTTTCCACAACCTGAAATGAAATGTCTCCGAGCGATGGTACACTCATATCTAGATCTTAACACAGTTTAACGACTGAAGAAAATGTAGATAAAATATTTCCTAACAATTGAAAATGTATCACCAAATTCGTGAGCTGATTTATCTCCACCCAGTCAGTCTTTCTAGGCTCAGTCGACTATTCCAGGGTGACTGGCCAGTCCAGAGGGCGGAAAATCTAAGAGGCCCCTCATGCTGCATCAGGCCCTTTTACAGACACTGTGACTCCCTTTCCGGATAGGGCCAAATGTGCCAGATCTATTTAGCAAGTGCAGCCAAACCAAAATTGATGGCAGTTTCGCCAGCCTGCTAAAATCATTCTTTTAATAAATATTACATGACAGTATATTTCAGTTATCCCAATATTTTAACCTTTTAAAGCTAGTGTAAACTAGCATGTCTCCCCACTTGTTCATCTCTCCCGTACAAACTACGCAAGCCGTGTATTCTGTCTGCATCAGTCACACCTGGCAACCCAAGCAGTGTCCTCTAGGTATTGATAACAACACATAACATCACTGTAAACATTCAGACATACAAATGTATAGCCAAGTAAAGAATAATAATACTTCATCTGTAAACATCCTAGACTGTAAACATTCAGACATAACGATTTATCAGCATGTAAAGCATAACAAAACATGTAATGTAAACATTCAGACATAAACATGTATTAGCAAGCGGAAAACCGAGGTATATCACTGTACGTTCCCAATCGAAAAACAGAGCAATATAAACGTATGTTTCCATGCACGCGAATTCCCTCCCACAGGCTCACACAAGATAATTACCTGCATGCCTCCTCGTGCGCCTAACAATTATACGTTTCTGCGAGAAAATTCTATAACTAGCGTATATTCGGTAGAAAAATGTTTTCTCTACAACAGTTATGGGACAGAAATGAAACCTGTTCTCCACACAAAAATTCTGCGACAGACAATTCTTATTTTTTCGTTTGTTTGCCTGAAATAAGTTGTCTACATCAGCAAATTTGTCTTTCGTACAAATGTCACTGCCGTTGTTAGTTAATTCAGTGGTCCATATAGTTTGCGTTCCACTGTTGTTCTTTCTGGCCAAACAGTTTGCCTTTCATTGTTGTTCTTTCTGGCCCAACAGTTTGCCTTCCATTGTTGTTCTTTCTGGCCAAACAGTTTGCCTCTCATTGTTGTTCTTCCTGGCCAACCAGTTTGCCTTCCATTGTTGTTCTTTCTGGCCAAACAGTTTGCCTTTCATTGTTGTTCTTTCTGGCCAAACAGTTTGCCTTACATTGTTGTTCTTTCTGGCCAAACAGTTTGCCTTTCATTGTTGTTCTTTCTGGCCAAACAGTTTGCCTTACATTGTTGTTCTTTCTGGCCAAACAGTTTGCCTTTCATTGTTGTTCTTTCTGGCCAAACAGTTTGCCTGTCATTGTTGTTCTTTCTGGCCAAACAGTTTGCCTTCATGTGTCATATTCGATGCAGTAGAAGTTCTGCTGTCTGGGGTACCTTTCCACGGGCTGATACGCCTATCTTAAATTGTGTGTATATGTGGTTACGTAATCGGTTGTACCCAATTGTAAGGCGAAGGTTAATGACTTGTTTTGATCTGCCCATAGGAAAATAGTCTGTTTGTGCTGGGACTGGTGGCTTCCTGATTGATTCAATGGTCCTTTTCTTTTGGTGGTATGTGACTGGTACATCCGGCTGCTATTTTGTCACACCTTCCCCTGCCAGTTGATCAACTTTCTCATTTCAGGCACTCCACAACACATTGCGACTCTTCACTGACAGTTGTTGGATCAGTAGTGTTTGCAATTCTAGTAGTTTCCCAGACTTCAAGTGCGAATTTGGCATCTGTCAGCATTCCTACAGACTGTGATTAGTATTTAGCAATTTCTCTGTTGCCTTCCTCATAGCCTGGGTTTTTGCAACATATTTATAGCAGTACTTTTTGGTTAGAACACCGAACTTATCCGTAGTACCATCTGGGAATTCTGGCACAGCCAATCGCATAAATAAACAGACGGGAACCCTTGAGGCCGTTAAATATTAAATACGATGAAAGTTACAGAAAATGTATTGATCGACACTCATAGTAAAAAGTAAAATGATAGATGGCACAGACAATGACACATGTTCCCTACACAACAGTTCTGCTGGTCTGGGACAGACAATGACACATGTTCCCCACACAACAGTTCTGGTCTGGGACAGACAATGACACATGTTCTCCACACAACAGTTCTGGTCTGGGACAGACAATGACACATGTTCTCCACACAACAGTTCTGGTCTGGGACAGACAATGACACATGTTCCCCACACAACAGTTCTGGTCTGGGACAGACAATGACACATGTTCCCCACACAACAGTTCTGGTCTGGGACAGACAATGAAACATGTTCTGCACACAACAGTTCTGGTCTGGGACAGACAATGAAACATGTTCCCCACACAACAGTTCTGGTCTGGGACAGACAATGACACATGTTCCCCACACAACAGTTCTGGTCTGGGACAGACAATGACACATGTTCTCCACAAAACAATTCTGGTCTGGGACAGACAATGACACATGTTCTCCACACAACAGTTCTGGTCTGGGACAGACAATGACACATGTTCTCCACACAACAGTTCTGGTCTGGGACAGACAATGACACATGTTCCCCACACAACAGTTCTGGTCTGGGACAGACAATGACACATGTTCCCCACACAACAGTTCTGGTCTGGGACAGACAATGAAACATGTTCTGCACACAACAGTTCTGGTCTGGGACAGACAATGAAACATGTTCTGCACACAACAGTTCTGGTCTGGGACAGACAATGACACATGTTCCCCACACAACAGTTCTGGTCTGGGACAGACAATGACAAATGTTCCGCACACAACAGTTCTGGTCTGGGACAGACAATGACACATGTTCCCCACACAACAGTTCTGGTCTGGGACAGACAATGACACATGTTCTGCACACAACAGTTCTGGTCTGGGACAGACAATAAAACATGTTCCCCACACAACAGTTCTGGTCTGGCACAGACAATGACACATGTTCTGCACACAACAGTTCTGGTCTGGGACAGACAATGAAACATGTTCTGCACACAACAGTTCTGGTCTGGGACAGACAATAAAACATGTTCTCCGCACAACAGTTCTGGTCTGGGACAGACAATGACACATGTTCCCCACACAACAGTTCTGGTCTGGGACAGACAATGAAACATGTTCTTCACACAACAGTTCTGGTCTGGGACAGACAATGAAACATGTTCTCCACACAACAGTTCTGGTCTGGGACAGACAATGAAACATGTTCTGCACACAACAGTTCTGGTCTGGGACAGACAATGAAACATGTTCTGCACACAACAGTTCTGGTCTGGGACAGACAATGAAACATGTTCTATACACAACAGTTCTGGTCTGGGACAGACAATGAAACATGTTCTGCACACAACAGTTCTGGTCTGGGACAGACAATGAAACATGATCTGCACACAACAGTTCTGCTCTGGGACAGACAATGAAACATGTTCTGCACACAACAGTTCTGGTCTGGGACAGACAATGAAACATGTTCCCCACACAACAGTTCTGCTCTGGGACAGACAATGAAACATGTTCCCCACACAACAGTTCTGATCTGGGACAGACAATGAAACATGTTCTCCACACAACAGTTCTGGTCTGGGACAGACAATGAAACATGTTCCCCACACAACAGTTCTGGTCTGGGACAGACAATGAAACATGTTCTCCACACAACAGTTCTGGTCTGGGACAGACAATGAAACATGTTCTCCACACAACAGTTCTGGTCTGGGACAGACAATGAAACATGTTCTCCACACAACAGTTCTGGTCTGGGACAGACAATGACAAATGTTCCGCACACAACAGTTCTGGTCTGGGACAGACAATGACACATGTTCCCCACACAACAGTTTTGGTCTGGGACAGACAATGACACATGTTCTGCACACAACAGTTCTGGTCTGGGACAGACAATGAAACATGTTCCCCACACAACAGTTCTGGTCTGGGACAGACAATGAAACATGATCTGCACACAACAGTTCTGCTCTGGGACAGACAATGAAACATGTTCTGCACACAACAGTTCTGGTCTGGGACAGACAATGAAACATGTTCCCCACACAACAGTTCTGCTCTGGGACAGACAATGAAACATGTTCCCCACACAACAGTTCTGATCTGGGACAGACAATGAAACATGTTCTCCACACAACAGTTCTGGTCTGGGACAGACAATGAAACATGTTCCCCACACAACAGTTCTGGTCTGGGACAGACAATGAAACATGTTCTCCACA